TTTAGGGTTTAGGGATTTAAAATGTAACACAAATCAGGTTTGAGGATTGTTGGGGGGCAGGGGGTTCAGGGCCTCGGCGGCTCTCAGCTTTTTCTTGGGGTTTAGGTTTGGGTGCCGGAGTTCAGGGTTTAGGGTTTAGGGTTTAGGGTGCTTGTAAGATCTAGATGAAAAGGGGTTAGGCTCGAATGACTCAGAAATAGCCGCAAGCCTGACTTGAACCCGAAATCCTAAACCCAAGCCCTAAGCACTAAACCCCTTTGGCTTTTGGGGATCTGGGTTCCTTATGCAAGCAGCTATTAGAATTGGGTGGCTTATTACCCAGCTTATGTTGGGCCCAGCAGTTAAAACCCTGATCAAGCGCCTTAGTATCCTACAAACCGACAAAACGGTACCCTTAGTACAATATGGTGACTACTAAGTAACAGGGTTTCCAGGGTTTCGATCTAAGGGTAGATGATATGGTCAACCCTAAACCCTAAACCCGAAACCCTAAACCGTGTATGGTCCCTAGCCTTCTTCAAAGGGTTTTGAAGTATGGGCCCTTGCACCTTGTAGTCTACATACGGGGTATATAAGGGCATTTAGATGCAAGGGGCCCCTACTAAGGGACCATGTAACAACCCTTAGATTCTAGGGCTTCTAGTCCCAAACCCTAAACCCTAAAGCCTAAACCCATTAGAGTTTAGGTTGTCCATGCAGCCTCAAAAGCCCGCCCTGCAGGACGAAGCCGAACAAAACCTCTCAGGAGCTGCAGGCCGTGAAGAGCTTCAAAGGGTTTAGGGCTTGGGGTTTTTAGGGTTTAGGGTTTTGGGGGTGGGGGGGGGGGCTTCAGGATCTATGGAAAAAGGTTAGGGCCTTGCCTTGGGGCTTGGACCCGTTGGGTTTCATCTAACTCAAGAGTGGTTTTTCGGGGTTTCGTGTTGTTTTGGGGAGGCTGGTTTGGAGTGCAGGGAAGGGCATTGGGATCGGCCTAATCCCTGTAGGATCAGGTTTGGTCGGCCCAAACCCACAACCTAAACCCCTGAAGCCCAGCGATGCCACCCCCAAACGACATGCCCTCACATCTCCAACATCTCCACCGCCCAAAAAATCACTCATCTTCTCCGATCCCCCAAACCCTAAACTTCCTTAAGCCCTACACCCTATCACCCTAAACCCTAAAACCTAAAGCCTAAACCCTTTACGGTTGAACCCAAACCTTCAATTGGGCCGCATGTGCCTCAGCTGCCCCGCTCAGGCGCTGAAGGCCGAGAATGATTCGCTAAAGGCGCGGCAGCTGTCAGCAGATGCCCTAAGAGCCTACACCCTAACCCCTAAACCCTAAACCCGAAATCCTCCCTTAAGTACTATTCCTTAACTAAGTCCGACCACAATTCAAGGTATAATTCTTACTACGTGGGTATTGGGCTTATTGGATGGGTGCTGTAGGGGACTTGTCAAATAGAACATAATATACACAAAAACTAAACCCTACGCCCCAAGCCCTGAATCCTAAACCCTAAACCCTAAGCCCTAAACCCTAAACCCTAAACCCTAAACCCTAAACCCTAAACCCTAAACCCCAAGTCGCAAACCCAACCCTTCTTGGGCGGACTTTGCTTAGCTCGGTGTAAGGTTCAGAGCTTCGCGGCTCTCATGTGCGAGCAACCGTAATCTTAAATCCCGAACCCCAAGCCCTAAGCCTTAGAGCCTATGAGCCCTGAACCCCAAGCCCGTATCCCCGGACCTCAAAGCCTAAACTCTATAAACCCTAAACCCTAAACCCTAAACCCTAAACACTAAACCCTAAACCCTAAACCCTAAACCCTAAACCCTAAACCCTAAACCCTAAACCCTAAACCCTAAACCCTAAACCCTAAACCCTAAACCCTAAACCCTAAACCCTAAACCCTAAACCCTAAACCCTAAACCCTAAACCCTAAACCCTAAACCCTAAACCCTAAACCCTAAACCCTAACCCTAAACCCTAAACCCTAAACCCGAAACCCCCAGGAGAAGCTCGCAGCCCTGGAGCCGTTGATCCAAGCGGCCAGGGTGATCCAGAGCTCCGGATCCCAGGGGATGGGGGTTCTTGGGGACTTAGGTGGGAAAACTTTATACAGTTTAGGGGTTCAGGGTTCAGGGGTGTAGGGTTTAGGGTTTAGGGTTTAGGGTTTAGGGTTTAGGGTGTGTCAGGGGAGGGCGCGCGCTCGGGTGTGAAACACCCCGGGCCGCGCGCTCGCATTGCCCGTCAACCCACCCCGGCCACCCAAGCTATACTCTATTAGGGTTTAGGGTTTATGGACTTTTTCTTGTGCACCGATGCTTGCTTTTTTGAAGTTGGTGTTGAGGTTTAGGCTGGAGTCGAGGGTAGCCTCGGCCCCGTTCGGACCTTCGGCGTGTCAGGGTCTTGTTTTCCCCAATGAGTATTTCAATCGCCAGGGCTTAAGCTGGGGTTCGGGGTAGCCTCGGCCCTTTTCGGGCCTTCGGCACGCGAGGGCCCGTAGAGGCCCTTATTTGCTTGAAGGCCTTCGCAGGGTTTTGCGGTGTTAGGGTTTAAGCTGGGGTTCGGGGTAGCCTTGGCCCTTTTCGGGCCTTCGGCACGTCAGGGCCCGTAGAGGCCCTTGCTGATTTGGGGGCTTCCCTGGTCCTTTTGGGGTGAAATGGAGGGGTGCCCAAAACCATCGATTTCAGTACTAAAAAATAACATTTTTCATTGCGGGCAGGGGTGCCTAAAACCAGTTTTCAAGAATGAAAAATCGCATTTTTCATTGCGGGCACGGACAAATCTTGGGGTCCCCCTTCTTTTAGGGAGCCTTTTGAAGCTTTTGAAGCCTTTTGGTGGCTCTTGGCGCCTCTTGGGGGCTTCCTGGGCTGTCCTGGCGCTTCTGGTGGAAACTGGAGGGGTGCGCAAAACCATCGCTTCCAGTATTAAAAAAAATATGACATTGATGGTACGGCCCTTGGCCCGGGGGCCCTTTGGCACGGGGGGCCTTCCTCTGGCCGGGTTCGGGGTCCTTGGCCGGGAAGCCGGGAGCATGGGGGGCCCCTTGGGGTCCAGGGATCCAAGCCGCCAGGGGCAGAGGGCCCCCGGGAGGGGGGGGCCCAACCTAAGTAAAGGTGGTCTGGGTGCCGGCCATCCCTTAGCCGAGTACTGACGTTGTCGTAAAAAAGGCCGATGTCCGTTGGCCTGTCCAGGACAGACGGTGAGGCTTATCCCTCACCTTTCCGTTTCTCTTTTCGCTTGGGCTCTCGGGCTGGAAGGCCCTCGGCCGAGCGTTCGGGGTCTGTCGTCCCACAGAAGCGACCCCTCACTTAGTTTAGGGTTTAGGGGAGCTAGGTGGAGGAAGGAAGCTTTGCATTTCCCTGATTCCGGGGAGCATCGGAGCACAGAAGCGACGAGCAGTACCTTATGTTTAGGCTGTTGAGAGTTCAAATCTGAGGCTTCAGTGCTTTGGCGAGAAGAACGGCTTTGTGCCCTTAAGGCTTTCGAGCTTAGGTTTCGGATGAGAGGCCCCAAACCCTGAAGCTTATGGACCTTTAGAACCCTTTCGATGCTCTGATGCCTGGACGTAGCTTATCAGCGTAGGTCGTGGGGTTATTTGCTCAGAGGCTGGTTCTGGCGTTAGGTGTTTTTTTGTTTTTTAGTCGGGGTTTAGGGTTTAGTGTTTAGGGTTTAGGGTTTAGGGTGTAGTTTGGGTCTGGGGCTTTAGCGCGTTAGCGTTTAGTGCGCAAGGCCCCTACATTTCCAGTGCTTCTCTGTTGGCGCTGTGAGGCTACAAGCCTTCCCAGGCGGTGGCTAAGGCAGCTGCCGCTGCCAAGGAAGAGGTGCAAGTTAGTGGTTATAGGGTCCTTAAAGGATGGGGTTTTACGATTTAGGGTTTAGGGTTTGAGGTTTAGGGTTTAGGGTTTAGGGTCCAAGGGGGGTATGTAACCCAGGGTCCCCTAGTACTCCCCACTACTCCCCAAGGCTCGCGAAGCTTCCCTAAGGTTCCCTAAGTACCTACCGCCCCATGAACCCCCCCTCCCTTAAGAACCCCATAATCGTGCTGTGGGTTTAGGGCTTAGGGCTTAGGGCTTAGGGCTTAGGGCTTAGGGCTTAGGGCTTAGGGCTTAGGGCTTAGGGCTTAGGGCTTAGGGCTTAGGGTTTAGGGTTTAGGGTTTAGGGGTTTAGGCCTCGGGTTGAGGATGGCTTAGGGCATAGGATTTGGGGTCGCAGTTACTCGGAACCATCTGCATTCCAGAGGCGCCGGAGTCCTTGCATTGACTTAAGCCCTCAACCCCCAACCCTCAACCCTCAACCCTAAACCCTAAACCCTAAACCCCCTTTTCCGATCTGCCGTTCTGCTCATGTTGTGTGGCTCCTCGTCTTGTTAGGCACTCAGGGTATCCCCCTCCCCTGGCACCCCGCCACTCCCTCTCACCCCCAAACCCTTAAACCCTTAAACCCTTAAACCCTTAAACCCTTAAACCCTAAACCTAAACCCTAAACCCTAAACCTGCCAGGAACCACCTGAAGCCGAACCCTAAACCCCACTTGGAAGACCTTTGGACTTAGTAAGTAGGGTTGTTTTGGGGATTATAAGGGGGTTCCTAGGGGATATTAAATACGTAGACTTACGAAGTCAGAAGAGCTTCCAGGTAAGCCCAGAACCACAAGAGGGAGGGGCAACCATGAACCCTAACCCCTCGCATGACCCGAAACCCTAAACCCAGGGGGGATGCGCAAATGCTGGCGCACATAAGCCCCGCAAAGAAAACTCTCAAGCCCCAAACGTCTTTGGTCAGAAAGGAGCAGAGGCCCAAGATGAGAGACAGGAGAGACAATCGCGCCATGGCCTTGGCGTTTGGGGTTTAGGGTCTAGGGTTTAGGGCTTAAGCTTTAGGGTCAGAGAGCCCAAAGACCCCTGAATGAAGGAATATGCCCTACTCATGAAGGATGGCTGAAGGTATAGCCCTTAAATTAAGAGGCCTTGGGCTTTCTGAGGGACTTTGGCAACTAGGTACCCTATATAAGTTTGTATATATATATATGTATATATATATATACATGCAAATATATATGTATATATATATGTACATGTCTATGTATATATACGAAAAAATCCTTTAAGGGGAGCTCTGTGGGATGGAAGGGTCCGAAGCCAAGCTTTCGGAGTGCGCCATGGTTGCATGGCAGCATGTTCAACGGCTCCGAACCTTCGAGGGTTTAGGGTTTAGGGTTTAGGGTTTAGGGTTTAGGGTTTAGGGTTTAGGGTTTAGGGTTTAGGGTTTAGGGTTTAGGGTTTAGGGTTTAGGGTTTAGGGTTTGAGGTCAGGGTGCCCGTTTACAAAGAAACAGGTCTGTATATAGCTGTTCTTGACTTATACATGTAGGGGCCGCCTTGCTATACGCATGGCTAGAAAGGCCCTGAGTTGGGTCAGAAGTCTTGTTATTTAGGCTCTAAACCCTTTAGATAGTAATGGGGTCCCTTCTTCTTGTAGCACAGTTCTGGTGGCCTAGAGGTGCGGCTTGGAAACTGCAAGTCGTGTCAGCGACTGACACCTGGCAATGTCTCTGACTACTGGGATGCGCAGTCAGTAGGACCGTACGCTAAACCCTAAACCCTAAACCCTAAACCCTAAACCCTAAACCCTAAACCCTAAACCCTTCATACAAAGACTGGGCACCATTGCGGTCTCTAGTTTGATTCGTCCGGCTTGGCTCAACTGCTGAAAAGGCCCGTGATGAGCTCATTACCTCGCATCCCTCTGGGGTTTACGGTTTGGGGTTTGGGGTTTAGGGTTTAGGGTTTAGGAAAGCTGTCCTGAACCTAGATCCTGAAAGTGTAAGCCCATCGAAGCTCTGCAACTCAAGGCTCCGATGGACCCTCAGTAGCAGCCTAAAATGTCCCAAAAGGGCCTGGGGCCTAGCGCAACTACCTAAACCCTAAACCCTATAATCCCTAAACCCTAAACCCTAAGATGTCGGGCGGTGACTTAAATTCGTCCAAGGCCCCGCCGCCCCCAGCGCCGCCCCAGCGGCCTCCCGAGAGAAGTGGCAAGGCAGGGAGCAGAGTTTGGGGTTTTGGGGTTTAGGGTTTGGGGTTAGGGTTCAGGGTTTAGGGTTAGGGTTTAGGGCTTAGGGCTTAGGGCTTAGGGCTTAGGGCTTAGGGCTTAGGGTTTAGGGTTTAGGGTTTAGGGTTTAGTGTTTAGGGTTTAGGGTTTGGCCAGGGTGCAAAAAGTGAACCTGTTTGCAAGTAAACAAGGGTCTCCGGGCGGTTTGGATTTAGGCGGTGCTTTGTAGAGTCTGGACTTTGCAGCCACATGTATATATGTATACATATATATATACATACATACATACATACCTACGTACGTACGTACGTACGTACATACGTACGTACATACATACATACATACACACACACACACATGTTCAGGGGTCCCAGTGCTTAAGGGGCGTATATGCATACGCTGCACTCCAACTGGCCCGGCTTCGTGATTCAGGGTAGGGTTTAGGGTTTAGGGCAAGACAAGCAAGGCATCGCAAACGCCAAAAAGTTGAAGTCTAAAGCCCTAAGGCCCTCCCCATGGTATCGCAGCATCAGGGCAGCAGTGCCTGATGCATGCCCTCACAGGCCTCTGGCAGTCCTCGAAACACTCACGTGAACGCTTTGGAGCCGCCGAGAGTTTAGAGAGATGGGGATGAGGGATGACGCGGGATGTTTCGGACTTAGGGCTGCCGAAGTCCAAGACATTTTTACAGGTTTCTATGATGATGATGGTGATGATGATGATGATGATGATGTTGCGTTATGTGTTTTACGCCTTTTTTTCCATAATAGTTACGCGTAGGATTTACATCTCGTTCCTGGGGGGCTGAGCTTGCCGCCCCACTGTGCAGGGCACGGGGAAAATGCAGTCCAAGGCCCGAGTCTGCGAGTTTAAGGTTCGGTGGGGTTTGGGGTTTAGGGCTTGCGGTTTAGGGCTTAGGGTTTAAGGTTCAGGGTTCAGGGGTCAGGGTTGAGGCTATAGAGTTTACGGGCATTTAGGGGTTTTGGGCTGGGTTCTTTTTTGGGGCGTTTAGGGTTTGGGTTTGGAGTTTGCTTTTGGTGTTTCTTTTGGTGTTTTGGGGCTTCGAATTTAGGGTCGCTGAAGCTGGCTCCTTCTTCAACTTACCCCTTTTTAATGGCATTGTTTGCTTCTTGTTTCTGTTTCTCCCTGCAGGCTCCCGATTGTATTCCCAGAATACCCATGGCCTTAAAGTCCCAGTCTTCCTTGCGGTCCCCCCAAAAACATCTTGAAAAGTCTCAGTGTCTGGGCTTGGGCTTCGGCCCCCAAAGCCTGAACGAAAACCCTAGGCCCTAGGCACCTGAGCTCCAAACCCTAAAGCCTGAACCCCAACTCCGCTGCCTCTCCCCTACCCCAACCTGGTCATGCAATTCTTTTGCACAAGTAGGTCCCCACCTAAGCCATAATAAACCCGAAGCCCTGAACCCTGAACCCTAAACCCTAAATTGACAAGAGTACCGGACCATCATGTCAAAGTGGAACCTCGCACTCCCTCGTCTTGATCCCAACAGCCAAGACCTCAAAGTAAAGCCCTCGCCTCAACCTCAGACACTAGACCCCATACGCCCCAAAGGCTCTAGGTTTTGGTCTGCAGCCTCGCAAGCACCACGGCACGGTTTAGGGCTTCGGGTTTAGGGCTCTTAAGGTTTAGGGCAGCCTGCATCCGGAGCCGTGTTGCAGGGCGGCTACGGTGGTGACTACGGCGACTATGGCTACTCGAGCTACGACCACCACAACTATGACACTGGGTACGACACGTGGGAGGACTGGGGGGGGGGGGGGGGTTGGGGCAGGGGGCGATGGTCCGCCATTGCGTGGACGTGGCATTGCTCTAATCTTGATCATATGTTGTTGCTTTGTTGCTTCGGGCTTTTGTGGTTGAGCATACGTATCCCCGAAGGCTCAGAGATTTCCCATCTCAGTGTCTTCGATTCCAGCTTCTCTAAGATGTTACGCAGTCGAAGCCTCCATGATCATGGTCATGGTCATGATCATGATGATGATGATGATGATGGTCATCATCATCCAAGAAGTGCAGGAAATGCATGTTCTTCCTTATACGGGCACTATAACTATCTATTTTTGGGGTTCTTAGAACATGGGTAGTCGTCATCATCATCATCATCATCATCATCAAAGCCCTCACCAAAGCCCCCAGCTTGAACACTAAACCCTCAACGCCCTCAACCTTAATCTAAGGTTGGAAGCAGGGCCCTTAGTGTGGTCCCTTACCCTTATACGGATCCGAAGCATGGGCCCTTATGTATAGTGTATATAAGGGTTGCTAAACCCTAAATCCGAAACCCGAATTAAGGCCCTAAACCCTAAACCCTAAACCCTAAACCCTAAACCCTAAACCCTAAACCCTAAACCCTAAACCCTAAACCCTAAACCCTAAGCCATCCTTCAGCCCCAGGAGCCTGCCAGACTCAAGGGGAAGGCCGGTGGTAAGGGCTACGGGCCGCCGCAGAACTATGGCTACTTCAAGGGTGGAGGAAGAGGCCGCCTACTTAAGGGGATCCGAGGGGGGGGGGAAAGGGTTTAGGGTTGAGGCGTGGGGGGGCGGGGGGGGAAGGGAGGGGGAAAGGTCAGGGTTTAGGGTTTAGGGGAGGGTTAGGGTTTTGTCGGGCTTGTCGGGCCAATGTAGGTCAATTAAGGTTGTTGCAAGGGTGCTTGGAAAGGAAACTCAAGGTTGCGCGGGCATTTGGCTTTTCCGTCGGCTTAAACACATTCATCAATCCCAATGGTCACCACGATTCACCACAGTTGCATGGGCACTTGGCGTCGTGACCAGGAACCCTAAATCCTCAACCACGTTGCATCTGTCAAGATTTGAACGGCTGGCGAGAGGAAGTACACGGCTTGTGGGCTTGCTTGACATCATACTGAGGTTCATGGGCTTAGGGTTTGGGGTTTGGGGGGCTCTGAGGGGGAAATGGCCTGGCGAGTGAATCTTGTAAGCCCTTGTAAGCCGGGCCCTTAAGAGGGAACCCCTTATGTCCTTATGTACCCTATAAAAATTAAGGGCCCGTAGATCAGGACCCTTAAAGAGGGGACGGGACCATAATAAGGGCCCATGAAACTGGCCTTAGATGCACGAAACGGTCGCGATCGTTGCCTTCGCTCTGATCAGCAGTGGAACGTTTCAATAGTTGCTTCCTGCAATTGACACCCTAAGCCCGCGCGACCTCACTCACATGGATCATGGAAAATCTCGATTGAAAATCTCGAAGCCTTGTTCTGAGGTAAGGGCAAGTTCAAGTGAGCCGGGAGCTCTCCCCGGCGCTGGGTATCAAGCTCACAGGGTTTGCGAGCGGACCGTGTTGCAAGAGCGACAGGACCTGCTTCCTTCAACATATGCTTAACAAAGCACTGGCCCAAAAGTCCAGAAGACCATTAGCCCAGTGAGAGTAAGCTGGAGGGTGCTAGTTGCTTGGCCCGCACCCCTTTGTCGAAGATCTGTTTTCAGTTGTTCCCCTTACTACTTGCAGAAATCCAGAAGAACATGCGGTGTGAAGGTGACGGGGTCAGCAGAGCCATACCAAGTAAAGGTTCTTGGATTGTCCAGTCCATGGTTTCGTCGTTCACGAGCTTTGGCGGCCGCTGTTGTGCACGAGGGACACCGAGTGGACACTGCATGAGAATCACGTTGACAAGCTCAAGTGCCCCCTAAAGAGCCCAATACCCCTTAATTAAGGAATATTCCTTAAATCATATTAAGGATCCCCTTACAATTTAAGGTATATTCCTTAATTAAGGAGTATTGGGCTCTCTGGGCCCCTAAACCCTCAACCCTAAACCATTAGCGATCAGGACTCTCAGCTGTGCATGTGCTACAAAGAACGACCCCTCAAACAGCTCCCTATTGTTCAGGGTTCAGGGTTTAGTTTAGGGTTTATAGGGTTTATAAGGGTTTATAAGGGTTTAGGGCTTGGGGTTTGGGGTTGAAGCTGCCGTAGCTGCCTCCAGGTTACACACTGCAGGCTGATGAAACTGCCCAATCTGGTACGGAAAGCCCACATGTCAAGGTCCCCTCAGACCTACTGCCATGTGTCACTCCAGCAAGTGACTGGCACATGGAGGTTCATGGTACTTATAGGCCAGTGAGAACTGTACGTATAACCCAACTGTAAGCCCCTTATAAGTGCCCTAACATGGCTAGAATTGGGTTATCAGTACAGCTAGTTTTACACACACACACACATATTCCTATATATATATATATATATATACATATAATTGGGTCATAAGGACACACACACACACATATATATATATATATTTATATTCATATTTTTATTCATGTATTTATGTATTTATGTATTATGTACTTATGTATTTATGTATTTATGTATTTATGTATTTATGTATTTACGTATTTACGTACTTAGGTATTGCTGTCTTTATGTATTTATGTACCTATGTATTTGTGTATTTCTGTATTTGTGCATTTGTGTACTTATGTATTTATAATTGGGTGAATAAGTGCCATGAACCTCCCAGCATCGCTGCCTTGTGCGCAGCTCCTTGTGTGGCTGTGCAAGGAGCCAAGTTGCCGGCAGTGGACAGAAGCCGGACGGCTGTGCCCCTCCCGCGCGTGCACGGTAAGCTAAGATATGAGATCCTAAAACCTCAACCCTAAACCCTAAACCCTAACCCTAAATCCCAAACCGCACAGCGTTTTGGAAGGAAAGCTTCAGATATGTCAGCAAGTCCTGCGACGCTGAAGATCCCGACGTTTCAGGGCCGCGTGCTAACTAGCCAGCATGGCGAACTGGTAAGCCGGCGTCATTCAAGCACCAAACATCGTGCAAGCTGACGTGCACCTTACATGTGTATCGCGTGCATGCGTGTGTGCGTGCATGCGCGCATGCGTGCGTGCGTGCTTGCGTGCGTGCGTGGGTGGGTGCGTGCGTGCGTGCGTGCGTGTGTGCGTGCGTGCGTGGGTGGGTGCGTGCGTGCGTGGGTGTGTGTGTGTGTGTGTGTGTGTGGGTGTGTGTGTGTGTGTATGTATGCATACTTTGTGTTTGTGTCCGTGTTCTCCGTTTTTCTTGATGCAGTTCTTGACTACATACATCTGCCTCACGCACACTCAGCTCCGAAAACCTTTCAAGTTCTCCTCGGTGAGCTTTACTTGGAGGTTCATGGGTACATTTAACCGTAGTTCGAAGTCTACTTATAACCTACTTAGGGGACATAGGGGGCTTCTACTTATAACCTACTTAGGGGACTCAGGGGGCTTATAAGTAGAGTTAGAATGAGGGTTATAGGTACCATGAACCTCCAAGTAGTTTGCGCCCTACAGCACCCGCCAAACTGAGCCCCCAAAACTTCCAGGAGTACCTTGACCTCTAGTTGCAGTTCTTTTTTGGGGTGCCAGATGCTTGGGTCAAAGTCACCCTAAACCCTATACCCTATACCCTATAAACCCTAAACCCTAAACCCTGTGCAGCCAGGATCCAGGAGTACAGTCGCCGACCAATCTGTTGAAATATTTAATCTGTCTGACATGGCCACTCGCGCAAAAGTTGCTTTCGCGATGCCGGGCGCAAGTATCGGCGGCGGACCCAGTTCACAAGAAACCCGAAACCCTAAACCCTATAAACACTAAACCCTAAACCCGACTGCTAGATTGAACAGCAGGACTTCATCGGCTTAAGCCCTAAACCCTAAACTCCACACCCGAAACCCCGATACCCTACACCCCGAAACCCCGCCAGTGTCCAGTATTCCCAGGACTGAAACGAGTTTCCGTAACAGGCAGCAGTACTTTGCCCTTGAGTGTTTGACTATTCTTTTGCCTTTAGAAACATCATATCGAAATTAGGCACCCTCATCTCCCCCCAAGCCCTAAACCCTAAATTCTTAACCCTAAATATGTACATGTCTATTTATATATACTATCCATGGCAAGGGTTTGTAGGGTGCAGGGTTTAGGTTTTATAAGGTGTTGCGTTTATAGGGTTTAAGGGCTTAAGGGCTTAGTTACGGTCTAGGTGGAAGTGTTCATCGACATAGCTGATGGGCCGTACCCTCCCTAAACCCTAAACCCTAAACCCTAAACCCTAAACCCTAGACCCTAGACCCTAGACCCTAGACCCTAGACCCTAGACCCTAAACCCTAAACCCTAAACCCCCCCCCCCCCCACCCCCGCGCAGACAAAAGACGAGATTGTCAAGTTCATCAACGGTGTCATTGAGCCACAGACCGAGACGCCCCTTTGGCTGCACGCCGCTTCGCTTGGAGTGTCGGGGGCAGAGTGCGAAGTTGAGTCCGCTGAGAATGTAGGGAACCTAAACCCGAAACCCTAAACCCTAAACCCTAAACCCCAAACCCTAAACCCTAAGCCCTAAACCCATGATTTCTGCCTTCATTGCAACCTTGGCCTCCTTTGGCGGCTGCAGTTCGTTTCAGGGAGTTGGTTTGTGGGTAGGTTTTGTTCGAGTGAGAGACTCCGGGGCTTCAAG